TTTCGAAACATACAGGGTGTCCCCAAAAACCATAAAACACTGAAGTTAAACTTTTTTCTTGCGAACACCCTATATATTATTTCATTTTGAGATTCTCCCTGATGAGCTGATTTCAACGACCCATCATACTTGGGGTCTAGCAGTTATAATTACTGAAATATAGGGTGTGAAAAATCGAGATTTTTCCAAGTTCAAGAATTTTTTGTGTCGAAACTAATCATAATTGTTCAAAACGGCTTACATGTCCCTATCCCAACTTTTGATTAACTATCTACTGATATTTAATTGGGACATATACCGGGTGATCAAGATTCTGAATTCTGCACCACCCTGTATTTGTTTCAATTAAATGTCAGTAGATAGTTGATCAAAAGTTGAGATAGGGACATGTGAGCCGTTTTGACCAATTATGAATGGTTTAGACACAAAAAATTCTTGAACTTGGAAAATCTCGATTTCTCACACCCTATATCTCAGTAATTATAACTGCTAGACCCCAAGTATGATGGATTGTTGAAATCAGCTCACCAGGGAGAATCTCAAAATGAAATAATATATAGGGTGTTCGATTGAAAAAAGTTCAACTTCAGTGTTTTGTGATTTTTGGGGACATCCTGTATGTTTCAAAATAATTTCAAATGGTAGCCTATGTTGACATGCAACTTCCTAGAGAGGAAGAATTCCAAGAAGATAAGTGGTTAGCCTTCTAGAGACCGAGGCGTTACTGGTGGCCCACCCTGTATATTGTTTGCCACCTCCCTTATTTCTGGAGGAGTAAGTACTTCCAGGTCGCTATCACTGTCCATTATATAATAATTTAAATATACCGATATTTTTTCGCACAACTTATGGACATTTCCATAGCAACCAACCATTCCAACAACTGCGATTTCTATCAAATTTTATTTTAATTGAACACTACAGGAAAAATAAAGAGATTGTGGGAATTGTAATAATTTGCAAATACAATATCCTCCTATATCATTATGAACAATCGGAGAAAAAATTATTTGTTCAACTCAGCAGCAAAGTCAATCTACTACTTTGCTGCCTAGTTAAACAAATAACTATTGTCGCAGTAGGGGATAGCAGTAGCAGTAGCTAGTAGGAGTGTGAGAAGCGGCATGACTCGCTGTCTCCCTCCCATCAAATAACGATATTATTTTATTATTTTCAATTGCATTTCCTCGTTGGACCCAGCACTGGATCCAACGCCCCATAAGTCGAAACTTGTGCGGGGTTTGGAAAGCATACATTTACAAACATCCATGGCCTAACTGGGATTCGAACCCATGCCTCGGTGGGAGTCCCCATACGAACTCAGCGCCTTCGCGCTCTCGACCACCGGTCATGTCCTATGTAGGGTCTAGAAGTGAAAGCACGCTATATAAGCATTATAAGCACGGCACGATTTTTGGTCTAAAAAGTGAGAAGGTAACTAGGATAATGTCAGATTTCATTACTACCATTAGTCTAGTACCTATTTAGACATGAAAATGATAGAAAACGAAAACATTTATTTTTGTATGTGATCAGAAAAATAATAAATGGAAATGAATTTTTCAGCTCCTTGACTTTTTCATGACCCTTCGAATCCTAACCATTATATTCTTGCATTGATTGAATTTAATAAATTAGAATGTTGAAAAATAAACTCCTTGAAGATCTTCTTCTGAACTGGAGTATAATTCTTGATTCTCAGTCAATGTTCATTATTCATCAATTCAACCAGATCTGATAGATATACAGGGTGATGAAGTTTCAATAACTTATACACGAGCAATCAATATAACAAACTTGAATAATACGTCTTTTTCTAGGCGCCATTGATCAGTTTATAAATTGATATTTCATTTGGTCAGGTTTTTATTTATCTCTTAGAAAGTTGATTATATCAATAACTTTCAGTATTAGTAATGAATTTGTGATTCAGGATGGTGATTCTTTGTATTCAATGAGTATTTTGAAAATTATTTCTCATGATATAAACACTCTATGGGTACTACAGAATCTGAGATCCTCATGTCAAATACGGAACAGTATTGTTATTTTCGATTTCCTACGGAGAAGTAAAAACCGGATAATTTTAAATTGCGTCACATTGATTTTGATCAAATATCTTTCATTTAAGGAATAAATAGTAATGACTGTAAAATGCAATATATAGGCTAACTGACGAAAAAATCCCCAAGCCATAGCAACGCTATTCATCATCAAAATCTAGGAATCAAGAATACAAATCAAACAACTTATCAGATACTACAAGGTGGCACTAACAATTTTCTTTACCATTCCAACTCTAACGACAGTGATTGTCGTTTTTTTTTTTCAAATGGCATCATATACTTTTTTTTTCTGATTAAGATTTTCTTTATGAAAACAATGATTTAAACCAAGTTGACTTCCATGCAAAATTATTTTAAAAAAATGTATGGTCTGTCGACAAAATATGGTTCGTTTCATCAAATGTTCTATTGTCATTGAAGGTTAAGATTGAAAACAGATGACTTGGAGATTAGGAGACTACAAACTAGAATAAGTGAGGAATGATCCATTTATTGACGACGGAGCATACATTTTTTCCAACTATTTTTGCATGTAAGTCAAGTTTTTATACAGAAAAAAATCTCGATGGAAAAAAAAAATTAATGTATATACAATGCCATTTGAAAAACAAAATTTGACAATCGCTGTCGTAAGAGTTGATATTGGAGAAATAAATTGTTAGTACCACCTTGTAGTACCTGACGAAACGCTTGGGGCGTTTTTTGTCAGTCCCTGTATATTATTCGAACAGGTCAAAGCACTGGCATAAGATTTGAAGAAGATATTGGCAGAGATAAGTTACCCACGTGGGTAACTTATTATCCATTATCAGACACCAGTGCCGTGTTGTCCGTGGAAGCTAGGAAAGCGCTTCCCTTGCCCGAAAATCAGAATCATCTAGGTCATTTGTATAATGTAGTGGTTATGTAATTATATGTATCCTCCTAATTCAGTGCTGAATGTTTCAACTCAGCTGTAATTTTAGAATAAAAGAATAAAAGGGACGCCGCCGCCAGACGCGCGACCCGATCACACTCTATCTACCGATGGAAGCTGTTATTCAAAAGCATACAGGCTGGTTATAATTACCCTGAAATGACATACGCGTGTCCTGGACTTCTGATTGTATTAATTTTGTTGCTCTGTTGGATCTATTTTTATGTAACCAATATCTTGATTGGGTTGCGTGCAAGAACTGTCAGATGACCGACCCTGGAGGTGAAAAACATTGAGACACAACATCACTTTTCTGATTTGTTTACAAGTGATCGAAATAGTTTTCCACAATTATTTTGGCATATGAATCGTATTTTTCCGCTATTCATCAATTCGCTCATGCCATCACATTGTGCTGTTGTAAAATGCACAAAAACTGCAGCGGAAGATGAAGGAATCCGGATGATACATTATGATTTAAAAGTAAGTACCTACTATAGTCACTCACATATAGTTTTCATTTTTGAAATTTAGTTATCTCTCTGATTTCTCATCGGAATTCCTTTTGCAATAGGAGCTAATAGAAATATACCTGAAATTTCTAAATTAATGCAAGAAGATTGGATTCATGCAATCAATCGGGAGGACTGGTCTGACATGCTGACGATCGTGTGTGTTGTAGGCATTTTCAATCTATTAGCAGTATTAGCTTGTATTGCAGAACTGGCAGAATGCAGAAGAAATTTTAATAAGGAATGACAACATTTCATAATGATAACTATGTGAGATTACTATTCACCTGGAAAATCATATTCCACAGTCTCTTGCTACATTTTTTGTGCATTGTACAACAGCACAATGCGAAGGCATGCTTGAATTGACGAAAAACGCAAGAAACACGATTTGTATTCCAAAATATTGTGAAAAACTATTTCAACCTTTTGATTCCTCTGTAATCAATTAAAAAAAGTTGGGTTGTGTTTCAATTTTTCACAGAAGAGTGAGATTATGTTTCAATATTTTACCTCCAAGGTCGGTCATCGTGCACGCGACCTATACATAATAGTACTTATCGATAATAACTGTCAGATGATCAATAGGGTATTTCTTAAATTTTTCACCCGTGTTAGATTGAAATTCCCGTTAAAGTCAATGCAAGATAGAAACGGAGGTAAAATCGGTAGGCAGATAGCTTCAGTCAACAAGCGGAGGTATACCTGGTGAGCGCGATGGCTCGTTAACGTGTGCAAATACCATTTTTCTATGATCGTGCGAAAAGTTACTACTTTTTGCACTCTTCAGTGTGCGAGATAGTTGAAGAAATACTTCTATTCAATCATGATTACGAGTTCAAGCTGAAAATTGAGAATTACAGATATTTATTGTATTGTGAATTATTATTAATAAAATTTGAAATAAGAATAAATTCAATTCGTTCGTAGGAAAAAAATTGTGAGCAACATGTGCAAAAGCAAATTTTTTGCACTCATGACTCTTTTTATAGAGTTTGCTGAAAGCAGAATCAAGATATATCCAAGGATATAAACTCGAGCATAGATCAGAACTCATTTTTAATAAAATAAAATTTCACAACCATCATAATCATCTTCATTTCCAAATGAATATTCAACTTCTCAATGCGATTCAGAGCTTGTAGACCACTTTATAGAAAGAAGCTTTGAAATTGTCTTTCTCTTGTTCTTCATCCAGAAGAATCGCAACCAGAGTCAAATCTATGAAAAATGAGCTCTCAATAGATGGATGTAGAATTTATCATTTGTATAGAATTACTGAAATCTTCCACTAATTATTATTGTGAAAATTTCTTCATACGAACCCGTCTACCAAAATTATCCCAGCAAAGAAAGCACTGACAGTTCTGTCGGATTTGAAAAACCGAAGGAATCACGATCTACCTCCTCTTAGTCACTGGATCGTATTAGTTAGAAATCTAACCTCTAAAATCGTATCTGACAATCAGGTGCTACTAGGCAAATTAAAAAGGCAAAGAGCAGAATATATGTCTTATTCTTTTATTCACTCAAACCATTGTGATATAGAAAATGGAAAAGGACAGAAGTTCAGCTGTGTCCGAACTCTTAAATCGCTAATAATAAACGATAATAGTAATAAATGTTACATATTGATCTGAGCAATCCGATTCAAATACCGAAGGCGACTATCATTCATTTTAAGACACATAATTCATCTTGTGTACTGGCGACTTTCAGTAGTGTGAATATTATACCAAGTTTTTTCCAAAATTCACTTATCCCCGAGCTTACCCCAAACTTGTTTCTACAGATATACAAATGACATCCTGTGCGTGTCTGTTACTTTAGACAGAAAACATGAATACGTCAAAAATTTCATAATCATGTACTAAACCAACAACCTACACACCGAATTTCTGTAGTTCATCAGTTGAAAAAAGTTATAGGGAGGAGCAACTTTTGGGAAACACCCGGCATATTTCATGAAACTTCTTCTGAAACGTGGAAAAATCAAAAAATCATATGCACTATACCAGAACCTACCATGCCACCCAAATTTGTACAGGGAATATTGAGCAAATAATTCGACACCACTAAAATCAGACTAGAAGAATACATATTTCTTATCATACCCTACGACGCTTTCAACTTGCCACCTACTCTCCCAATCTTCGCTTTCCTAGCCGTATACATGTGCATCAGAAGCGTGTACATAGCAGGTATCATAACCGCCAAGAGGTACACCCTAAGGAAGGTAGCAAAGTGGAAGGTGAAATTGAACCTGTTAGGCAACGACACCGACCACTTATTTGACTGATCCACGAAAATCAGGTTCCTGAAGACTATCACGCCTTCGCAGAGGAACCCGATGGGATACAGGACTATCCAGGCGGTGTACCTCAGCCAGGTGAGCAGCTGGTTTTCTCTGTGATGGAGTTGTGACATGTAGTAAGGATACCTGAAATGAATATTTCCTAACTATCTACTCAACACTAATTTCGTCGCAGTCCAACATTTTGTTCCTGTTGAAATATAAATAACTTTTTTCAGTGTTAAACAATTTGAATTCGGGTTACACTGTTCGTTAGCCCATGAGGTTTTCATATAAAATCGCTACAGGGTGTGACCAGTGGCGGCTCGTGACTTTCATGACAGAGTAGGCTGAATGATATGAGATTTATTGTGAAAAACAACTCTCTACTCACCCAAATCAATAGCTTTAATGACATTCTGTTAACCTGAACTTAATACTTGAAGAGATGTGTTCCTGTGATTTGCAGTGTCTATCCAATCCGCGAGGCAAATTTTTCAAATCATTATATCCTAATCGCCCCCAACATGATGACTTATCGGTTGGAAATAATACGCAGTACCAACAAAATAGCTTATTCCTTACCTCAGATCCCGTCAACCAGATATATTTTTTATAATTATCAGAATTGAACGAACGATTTTGTTTGTTACCTTATACAATCAGATTTTTTAATTCCGGTGTCGGACGTTTTTTTTCACAATCAATTCATCTTCATAAGACAAAGCACTGAATGGGTTCACCAAAAAGTATTCCACTAAATCGCAATCGTTTAAAACAGAAATTTATAGAGCCCCTAACCATTAACCTAACATAAACATGAACTATGCACTTGCGTTTGTCCGCAATTCGAAGCGACACGACAAACACGTGCTATTCGGACGTATTCGGGCATTTGCATTGCGCGCGTAGCTTACGATTTGTGAAGGAGTCTAGCCTCCTATAGATGTTGCCAAGTTGAATATTTTACGCGTGATTTGCAGACTTCAACGTGTGATGCGTGGGCAAGCACTGTTGCCAATTCAAAAATATTTAACTAAAAACAGGAAATAGAATCAAAATCCATGTATTTTGGTGTCTTTTCAATGAGGAAGTATAGATAATATTAGTTTAAGGAAAATCTCTGAGGAGGCTCAGCCTCCGTTGCCTCCTCTGAGGAGCCGCCACTGGGTGTGACCTGAAACTGTGAAAAATTTCGGGATTTTCAAAAGAATCCCACATGAACAAAAACTTTATTTTTTTCAACTTCGACAGCAGAGGCATCTCTTTTATTTACAGAATGATCTCAAAAAATTACCTTTCTGGTTTTGCAGTCATAACTTTTTTCTTGAAAACCCATTTTTAAAATCTCATTGCGATGATGAACCTTCAGATGAAGAGATATGAAGATCAGAATTGACTCAAGGTGAACATTATACAGTGTGTCTCACTTCTAATGGAAGCACCCCTGTATGTTTAGAAATTATTGTTGACTTAGGATTCTGAAACTTACAGGAGCGGGAGATATACTGAAAATAAACACTATAGGCGTTTTCTGAAACTTACTCTGGGTCGCTAACTCCATCCAGAGAGGTCACGTGACGGATTACTGCAATCTGACTCGGATCACCTACCCAGATAATATATTTGAAATAGAAACATTACTGAGAACACCACTTGAAATTTGAAAACCAAAGAAATGCAGAACGAGGAAATCCTAGGTAGATGCGAAATATGTGGATTCTCAAGCATGTCTCGAATAGTGCTTCTCTCTAAGAGAAAATGACACTGGAAATCTGTAAAATCATTTTTTTATGATGAATTTGTGACACAATTATGTATACTGTTCATTTCACTTGTAGTGGGGTAGTGTATAATCACATCTTCATAATTCTCAATACAAACACGTCTTCGTTCAGGAGAGTATTTATTTATTACACCAGAAGACATTATCAGATGTAATATTTCCTCCTCCATCTCTCGAAGGTTAATGCTGTTAGTGTTTGGAAGATTGCACTTTTCCTTTTATTCATGATATTTTTTTTTTTCAGCTCGTACAATGCACAAATAAAATCACAGTTTTAATGTTAATGGTTCAATCAAATAAGGTAAACAAAACAACATAACCAAATTTTCTTATTTGGTAATGCGCATGCGGTGCCATTGTAGACTCTCATGAACCCTGCTTTCCAGTAAGGTTACTGTAGACAAACCCGAGTTAATGATCGAGTAGCCAACACTGGGGTTTACGAACACGGGAAGGTCAACTCGGGTTAGGTTAACGGAAGTGCAGGTTGAGGATCGAGTCAACCAATATCAACCCGAGTAGGTTAGGACCAAGTGGAGTCATCTCCAGTGATAAACACTGCTCGCATACAGCGATGGAACCACACAAATTTCCGGAAAATGTTATTAGGAGCCAAGATAGGTTGAAATTCTCTCCGGATTCGAAATCAGGACGTCCAATTCACTGACTATACATATTTTTCTTGGAAAATTTTCAGTTCAGAAAAATTCAATTTTGTCTCACTTCTCATGGAAGAACCCCCGTATCTCACGTAACTATTGAGGTAGGGTTCTGAAATTTGCAGGAGGAAGTGAAAGGGACGTCTTGATTTTGAATCCGTGATTTTCACTCTATCTTGCGTTCTTATATCATTTTTGTGGGTGGTTCCATGGCTGTTGGCGAGCAGTGTATATCACTGGAGACGACTCCACTTGGTCATAGTGTGTATTTTCAGTATTTCTACCGCTCTTGCAAATTTCAGAATCCTAACTCGACAATTACGGAAGATACATGGGTGCTTCCATTAGAAGTGAGACATACTGTATAATGTTTATCTCAAGGCAATCCTGATCTCCATATCACTTCATCTGAAGTTTAAGCTTCAAGATGAGCCTGAGATCTCAAAAATCGTTTGACGAGGAAGAAAGTTATGACTGCAAAACCAAAAAATTTATTTTTTGAGATCACTCTGTAAATAAATGAAATAAGGAGACAATTCGAAAACTGTCCCAAGATAATGAGATCTACAAGCCACTACTGTCATAGTTGAAGTTTGAAATTTTGCACAGTTTCAGGTAACACCCTGTCGCGATATTCTGTGAGGGAAAGTAGAAAAAAGTTATTCATATTTCAACAGAGGCAAAATTTTGGGGTGCGACGAAATTAATGTTGCGTAGTTTAGTTACATGCAATATTTCTTCTAATTTCAATGGAAAATTTCGTTTGAACAAAAATGATAACCAGTTCTAGATGAGTTCTACCGATTGTGTTCAAAATTTATTAGGCAAGTTGACTTCACCTGTAACTTTGAAGTATCCATTATTTATTAGTGGAACATGTATGATTGAAGTTCAGATTGACCAAGTGATATCAAGAAAACAACACAAAATCCACTATTCTCTTCATCCATCCAAATTTTGATTTTGTAACTGGTGTTCAAATGAACATTTCATCATCAGATGAAACATTTTACTTTATCTAAGTGGTTACATAAAGTAAGATGTTTGAAAACTTCCGTCAGTTTTGGAAAGTGTCAAACTACATGTCAAATTTGGAAAAAGATAATTATCAGGACTTATTTTCCATGGTAAAAAACTCCACAAACAATGAGATTCTCACAAAATTCTCAAAGAAATATAACAATCTGAAACAATAATCAAAATTATAGAACTTTACTATTTCAGATCATGAACACAAAAATTAGAATTTCTACATAAACAAGACTTGATTGAGAGTTGCTTATTCATCGTTCCATGTCAAAGCCACGTTAAAACTGGGGGAAAACAAACTCAATCCTCACTCAATCCCATTAGTGCCATTAGCTTGTGTACTGTGTACTGATAAGAGTGATAAGTTTTCGAATTACTTGACATTAATTTCGATCGAAAACGCTAATAATGCCTGTTGTAGATATTGTTTTGGTAGATATTTTGCTCTATTTAGATAGAAAAAGCCGACCAGTAGTGGAAGGAGAAACAGTTCTCCGTGCTAATCATGTGATTTTGTGTGAGGCAGAACACTTCAACGAAAGGCACATTTTTGCACGTTGTCTACAAACTTCGGCGATGAAATCTTCCCCACATGAAGTAAAATTGAAGTTGGAGTCCAGAGGAACTCCTGTAGAACAATGGATTTGTATTTGTTCATCTGATGCAGGACAAACTGGGTAATGTAAACATGTTGTAGCTGTTCTTTTATATGTCAATTGATTTGCTCGTCATAATTAGATTGAATTGATTGATCTATCTCCAATTCTTCACCCGTTCACTGTTCACTAAACTAATAAAAATGTAATAATGTAAGAAAATTAACCAACTCAACCATCATCACTACCAACAGTGCCAACACTTTATGTTATTGACAAGTTTGACTACAGCTACAGCAAGCTGAATGCAATGTAGTCTATGCACTATATCCATATACAACAGTTTGTTTTCCCCCAGTTTGAAGTTTGTATTATGTAAACTAGATGTCGCCTTCGTGAATCTCGCGAATAGCACACATAACATGTTGAGAAAAGTTTTCAAAAATAATAAAAACTTATCAAGATCTATTAACCCAAACCGAATGATGATGGACGATGGTCTTATCAGGTTGTTTACCACGCCATTGTCTAAACGGAAATCGCTTGGTGTAAAAAATGCAAAAATCGCCCTTCTTGAATACATTTTCAGTAAGCTAGTGACCTCTATGCCGAACCAAGTGATACATTTGTTATACGACTGACCCTGGAAATATATCAAATTCCTTTCAGGATTCTCTTTTCTGTCAAGGTTATAATCAAAAATTCTTGATGTTTAAACATGTAAAGTAATCACACAAATAAGGAGGGCACTAGGCATACAGAAGAAACTGTTATTTATGAGATGAGAAAATGGGCGAGTGAACTGATAATGAATTATTGATATTCAATTACTCCACGACTCCACCAGATGAGGGAATAAGTTGAGACAATGCAATGCAAAAATTGAGGATTTATGAACTATTAAATAACTAATATTTCTGGAGTTCCCAATCGTATTTCAACATATGGCAACTGTGCTATGGTTTGAAAATTACCGTGGAATTATTGTTGATTTTAGCACCTTAAAATCGAACAAAAAATTCTAAAAAAATATGGAAACGAAAGGTATTTGAGTGTTGATTATATTTAAGAAATAAAAAAAAAATATTCCACTCGCCTATTCTTGATTTATTGATGTTATAATTAAATTTGAGTATAAACTGGAAACTTATCAGTGCTATGATAAAAAATTACATGTTCAACGGCGGTGAATTTGTTTTCTTATTAGGTAATAATATGTATTTGATATCAATACTTTTGAGTTAATCCAGTACTTTGTATTTTAATATACATACAGGGTGTTTCATAATTGAATGCTGATCCTAAAGGGTGATAATCCTTGGATGATTTAAAGAAAAATTCTTCATGTGAACATAGGTCCGTATCAGCTTCGTTTCTGAGATACAGGATGTTGAAATTTAACAAAAAAATCAGTTATTCCCCAATATCTCTGAAACCGCTCTGGCTTTTTTCTTCATTACAAATACTTGAAAATAGTTACCATAAAATAATAAAAATATCGCTTAGATCTTTTGGTTACCACAATTGTGAAATTATGACTAAGAGTGAAAATCGAATAGGGACAAGCAAATGAATGCATTTCATTTTCTAACTCAAAAACCGTTCGCCAGACGAAAAAAAGACAAGAGACCATTTTTATGAGAAGATAGAGGATAATTACAAAAATGATATTTATTTGGAAAAAAGACAGTGGCGTATCATTATTTTGATGAAAAATATGACAGGGTATGTTAACAGGGACGCCACTGATGGAAATTAAAAAATCCTTCATTATGGAAAAAATGTATTTCTATTCATACTCGGCATGTACCAAAATTGAAGAAAAAAGCCAGAGCAGTTCCAGAGATATTGGGGAATATCTGATTTTTTTGTTAAATTTCTACATCCTGTATCTCAGAAACGAAGCTGTTACGGACCTATGTTCACATGAAGAATTTTTCTTAAAATCATCCAAGGAATATCGCCCTTTAGGATCAGCATTCAATTATGAAACACCCTGTATAGTGCATATTTTCCGAAAATTAAGGTTTATGGAACCTTTCCACAGATATCATAATTAGCCAATAAAAAGAAAATCGTGATTCTTCTGAGGTGACGTTTTGAAAACTAACAATCTAACAAACTAAAATCGTCCATTATGACAAATATTCTATTCAAAACAAATACTGGATGTTTTCAGTTAACTACTGCCATTGACAGGCAGACAAATTTTGGGTCAATGAACAGACAATATTAAACTTCTCAATAAATAAATACAAAAAGCTCAGTCATTTCCACACAATGTTCATGAAATGAACAATGATAGATTTCGGGAGAAAAACAACTACTTCCCTGGTTAATGCCATGCAGGACATTGAATTACATCCTCCCGAAATCGACTCCTGAACGAATACTGATACAAGTGATTCTTTCCTGAACGCCTATTGATTTCGATTTAGCCAGGCCGCTAGACAACCACAGACCGGTTTCGAGCTCTTTAACTCACATCAGTGCAGTCTGCAGTGTAGTCTCCAGCCAGCAGTCCTAAGACCGCCGACTCAGCGGGGCCTAGTCACACAAAAATCAAGTCGGCATTATATTCACCCCCAGGCGTCTTTCATCGACAAAATGAAAGTAACGCCATCTAGGTAGAACAGAGGAAAGAATCACTCCAATACTAAAATTCCCATACGGGAGTGGCTGGTTGCCCGACTGGCGTAATTTCAACAACGAAAAAGCCACAATGCTCAAAGTGGAATGAAATGGTAAATAAATACAATTCGTTGTTGATTAAACTTCTCGCCTATTAACTAGGTTTATATTTAGAACAATGACTAGGTGAATTGGGTAACGTGAAAAAATTTCCATCACTGGCACCACTGTTGTTGATGGACCAAATAAGTGAACTTAGCAATACAGCATGTAAATAGGTACATTAGTAGTTAGGTAAGGAAGTAAGTTAGTAAGCAACACATTTGTTATCACTTATGGCGTATAAGTACCTTAGATGGTGAATTGGTTACGAGAGAAGGAAAAAAATCTAACCTTATAACCTCAATGGCTGACCACGTTAAAAACAGGAAAAATGTCACCGGCATTTTCTGTATCTTCGGTTCATATTCCAAATTCGCAATCAAAATGAACAGCCTGCCTCCGATTTGCATAAAGGGCATCAGTGGACCTCCTTTGACATATCCAAAAATAGGATGTAGCACCTCAATAAGGAGAAGATGATTATTTAGTATTGATATAGAAATTGAAACATTTGTTTTTGTTAGTTTTATAAAGCACAATTCACCAGCACATTTTGACCCTTGCCTAGGACATAAAATAAGTATTTCATCAGTATAACAATAGATTAAATGAAGTGTGACTGAGTGCCAACATAATGCATTTGACAGACGATTAAATATTCAATTTGTTTATATCCCTGACAATGGATGCCTCAGCTGAAGAGTTGGAAAAGTTGATTCTTCGTTAAGTTTAGAGAAAACTTTATTTTTAAACTTTATGCAACCGGCCCAATATTTCTGTCCGAAAACACTAAGCAGCGATGGATCTTTAAGGAATATTGAGGGCACACTCTCGGGCATACTAATCAATATACCCTCAAGTAGGGTTCGTTGGGCTACAGGGCCTTGTTGCATCAGGGCAATATATCCGTGTGGTGGTCGGAGTAGAATAACCCCACGGTAAGTCCTGCCTGTCGTAGGAGGCGACTAAAAGGACGCCAATAGGTGGAAGATGGTTAACGCCATCGCCCGGTGCGATACCACCACATCAACCATAGGCACTGTGAAATGGGTATACTCACCCGTGTTTCAGTAGCTGGTTGATGTTCCGGCCAACCCAACCCAGCCCAATTTCCTTTTCCTTCCACGCCAACCTCCCTTCTCTATACAGAATAAGCGATGATGAGTTCTCCTCAAGTAAAATTATCCGGAAGTAAAATACCTCTCCATTCGGATTTCCGGGCGAGAGGTGCTAGAGGGGGTTCACCATCGACTGAAAAAGTCCTCAAGATAGACCTATGTAACATCCGAGGTCTAAGTAAGAACATCAACGAAGTCCATCGACACCTTCAAATTGAAAAGCCAGACATATTGGCTCTTACTGAGACACAGGTCAATTCATCCACCAATACGACCTATCTGCTCTGTCCTGGGTACGAACTCCACACACGTTTCAGATTCAAGGGAGGTCTCTGCCTCTACTCTAAAACGAATCTCTCATGTCAACGAGAAAAAACTTTGGAACCAAATAAGTTTGATGTCATGTGGTTCAAGCTCGATAGCCAGAAACAGACCAAATACCTTTGTTGTCTCTACTTATCACCAAATGATCCATCCTATGAAGAGCTCTTCGAATTCTTGTCTCTGAAGCTCGACCAAATTCAACAGAACCATCCAGCAGCAGAAATCATCATCATGGGCGATTTCAATGTACACAACACTGCTTGGCTCGTACACTCTAACAGAACAGATGAAGCTGGGCGACAAGCCGAAGCTTTCGCCATCACTCACGGCTTAGAGCAGCTTATCAAAGAACCCACACGAATTCCCGATGCCAATAACCATTCAGCTAACATACTTGACTTATTCCTCACTAATAATTCAGAACCCTACACCATAGATGTACGAGCTCCACTTGGCAATTCTGACCACACACTCATCTCCACAACCTGCCCATTTTTCATTCCATCAACTGATTCGGCACCCCCACGTCGTATATGGCATTACAATTCAGGAGATTGGGACGGTCTCCGCATGTTCTTCTCCGAGTTTCCTTGGCATAGAGTATGCTTTGACTCTGAGGACCCTTCACAGTGTGCTGCGGAAATATCCGAGATCATCATGCTCGGAATGGACACATACATACCCCATTCTTCAAAAAGATCATCACCATCGAAACCCTGGTTCAACAAAAACTGTTCTAGAACTGTTGCCTTGAAACAAACAGCCTACCATCGCTGGCGCAAAAACCCTAACCTCGCGACTAGAGCAGAATACGTTGATGCCAGAAATAACTGCAGCCAAACAATAGATGCTTCGAAAGAAACATACAATGCCAAGATAAGATCGAAACTCATAGATTGTCCCAATGGCTCCCGTTCGTTTTGGTCCCTCGCTAAAGCGGTCGGAAGAAATTTCACTAATAGTTCATTACCACCACTCTCCAAATCCGACGGCACATTAGCAACAACATCGCAGGAGAAAGCAAATATTTTTGCAGAGATTTTTGCAGCAAACTCCACATTAGATTCTCAAGGAAAAGTGCCGCCAGATATTCCACCCGTTGAGAGTCGAATGCCCGAAATCGTCTTCCGTCAACGCACTATCAGACGAATTTTGCTTGGTCTCAAAACGAATAAGGCTAACGGTCCTGATGGAATTCCACCCATTATCCTCAAAAAATGTGCACCAGAATTAACACCGATTCTCTGCAAGTTGTTTGCCGTCTCGTACAGGTCGGGTATTTTTCCATCATGCTGGAGGACAGCTAGAGTCCAACCAATCCCCAAAAAAGGGAACAAGAACCTGCCCAACAACTACAGGCCCATCGCCCTGTTATCAGTAATCTCCAAAGTCATGGAGAAAGCCATCAACATTGAGCTCATCAAATATCTGGAGAGCTCGGGAATCATCAATGATAGACAATACGGCTTTCGCCACCGAAGATCTACTGGAGATCTGCTTGCCTACGTCACCCATTTATGGCAAGCTTCATTGGAAAAACACGGGGAATCTCTAGCTGTCGCTTTGGACATATCGAAAGCATTTGACCGTGTTTGGCACGAAGGACTCCTCCACAAACTACCATCATACGGCTTACCACCTCAGCTATGCCATCTCTTATCGAGTTTTCTTTCAGGCAGATCGCTTCATGTGGTGGTGGACGGTGTATCGTCTCATACAATTGGCATCAATTCCGGCGTTCCACAAGGATCAATTTTGGCACCAACATTATTCCTTCTTCATATCAATGATCTGTTGGGAGTAACAACTTGCCCCATCCACAGCTTTGCAGATGATAGTACCCTACATACAGCGTTCTCTTCCAGAATTCCTATTTCTTCCCAGGAAACTAAGAACACACGGCGCAGGCAGGTCAACGCTGTCAATGAAGACCTTGCTGAAATCACAGCCTGGGGAACCAACAACCTAGTTGAATTCAACGCTACCAAAACTCAAGCCTGTATTTTCTCTAGAAAGGCGGATCTCAGTATGCCCGACATTGTAATGTCTGGCACCACCATCCCCACCAAGCCCACCATATCTATGCTCGGTATTTCCATCAGCAACACTCTTTCATGGGATAATCATGTCAGATCCATCGCAAAAGCTGCTTCACAAAAACTCGGATTCTTGTTCCGTGCGAAATGCTACTTTACACCTCAACAGCTCCTCATGATCTACAAAGCGCAGATACGGCCTGTTCTAGAATACTGTTCCCACATATGGGGTTCAGCACCGAAACATACGCTGATGCTCTTAGATTCCATCCAGAGAAGAGCCATCCGCCTGGTGGGTGACGCCACACTCACTCGCTCTTTGACATCATTGGAACACCGTAGAAAGGTCGGCGACCTTTCACTTTTCTATCGATACTTCCACGGGAAATGTTCTTCGGAAATCTCTGCTATCATCCCTTCACTAGCAATACCAGTCAGACGAACTAGACAAGCCCAGACAGCACATCCCTTCGTTGTCAACCTCGAAAGATGCCGAACAGCACTTTATCAAAACTCCTTCATCCATAGAACGGCTGGGCTCTGGAATTCATTGCCTGAGGAAGCATTCCCAACAACATATAATCTCCAGAAGTTCAAAAAAAATTCCAATACCTACCTCCTATCCCTATCCTCCCTAGGAACGCACGATGTTCTTTGAACATTATAGGGATTCCCTCTCGTGCGCTCCAAGCGATAAAAAAAAAAAAAAAAAAAAATATTATCTTGGATAGGGTCCCTTGATGCAAACTGACGTATTTGTCATCTTAACAGGGTACAGACAGACCCTTGTACCCTCTCACTCTCAAGTGTTTGTGAAACAGTTATATAGTTCCATCCTTATTCAAATCTGGGGATAAACACAAGATTTCTGGTATTTGTTGTTTTTTAGGTTATATAGAGGACATTGGCGTATCATACGTAATTTCCACATGGAATTCCTGATTCAACTACAACTCAACATAAAATATCTACATATATCCAAATGATGATCAATAATTTTTAACTCCAGCATAATCTTTGTGAGGCAATGAGCATACATTTTTCTGAAAGTTTAATATGTTTTACCAAATGGGTCCATTTGTAGGCTGTTACTATACCGGGTGGCTACGGAAGTATTGCCTACGGAATATCTCAGTTATTGTATGAAGTAGGTTTGTGAAATTTGGAGCGTCGATATAATGACATAAGAACTAGAATTTGAGCATATTGACATGTCGAAGTTGACTTCCGGTCTGACCGGAAGTAACATCAACTTTCTTATTTTAAATGGAAACCCTATTTTTTTTCTGTTCGCTTTATTCAGCATTCAATTCCTTTTCTGATGACATATCACAAGTTGGTATCTAACCAGAAACTAGATCAGAAAAAAAATATTATTGAAATTCACCGAGTAGGTTGGGTTTTTTGGTATTTCATTTCAAAAAATTACTTTCTATTATATTATTAGGAAGGAATGGTTATGCTGAATAGTACAGGCAAGAAAAAGTTGTATGTTCCTATTTAAGTTATGAACCTACAGAGTATTGTTTTTTTCACAATTTTTCCAATATTTTTTTTGGCGGCATTTTATAACGCCGACGAATGAAAATGAAATATCACAGTAGTAGCAACTGTTATCAAGTGACGTATGGTTTTCATAGCCAACTTTTCAATTTTTGGCTTTCATTTTGCTTCCACGGCCTACTCGGTGAATTTCAATAATAATTTTTTTCTGATCTAGTTTCTGGTTAGATACCAACTTGTGATATGTCATTAGAAAGGGAATTGAATGCTGAATAAAGCGAAAAGAAACAAAAATAGGGTTTCACAAAAATACTTCATACAATAACTGAGATATCCCGTAGGCAATACTTCCGTAGCCACCCGGTATATATTAAATGAATTTTGATTTCAGACTGAGCCTTATGGTTGATGAAAACTTTGATGTAGTTATTTAAACTATAATGTGCTCATGTCATGATGTGTGCTGTTTATTTATATATTCATGATTCGGTCATGAATATATATTTTTTATATAAATATAAACAATGTGTTTCTAAGATCAATGAAATTATTATGATATTTTCACTTTCCATGTTCTAAGTTCATTTGCATCAGTTGGATAGCTGACAAATTTGAATATGCCATCCAACTGATTGATACAGCCTAAGGCACCACATTTTACCATCCTTCCAAACATAATGAAATGATGTCATATTAAGATTGAGTACTAATTGAAATTTTGTAAGATTCCTTTTAATGCCTATGAATGTGACATGACAACAATGTCATGTCAGGAACGCCAATACACAAAACCAAAGTCACTAGATCAATAAAAGAGAAAGTCAATTTACATCAAAGGACCCTAATCTTGGAGAGTAGGTATCTATTAGACATTATTTTAGTTTGAACCATATCTTTTTGGCTATATTTAATTAAAAAGTTATATAATCGGAACAATCTACACTACTTCAATCAATCATAAATTTCATAAGTGAAAACCAAACCCAAACTATTATGTGGATTACAAACAATGGCTAAATGCAAAGAAAAAAACAAATGGTAATAATGTTAGTGTTTATCTGTTTTGGTTCAAACATAACCAGACAAAAAGATATGTTAACTCTCATCAAAATTAAATCAGATATGGGTAAAAGATTTATTTTATACAATGGAACAATTCTCTATAATGCATTACCTGCCAGACTGAAGAAAAAATTAAGTGTTGATTCTCTTATATCATCCTGAATCAATTCAAGAAATTCTATTCAACAGTCTCTAGAAGAAACAACATTATTTTTTGTATTATGTATATGATTTAAAAATGATTATCTGATTATCTATTTTTTTTTTAGTTGCTCTTTCATAATTTTCCCTGCTATAAACATATATGTTTCTTGGGAATAATAAAGATTATTATTATTATTATGTTAAAAAAAACCATGTACTTGGTATATTCCTTGGTAAAAAAATAAGGTATCAAGGGAATTAAAATAAATTATAAATCAGATGTTTGATCAGATGTAGAAGATTCATCTGAAAATCTTCCTGAAATAGACTGTGAAGTGATTACATTTTTTCTGCATCTCCAACTCTGCAAGTGCTGAAATGAAAAACTCTTGCATATCTGATGATTTGAAATACTGTGGATTTCAATAATAATATGTAACTTCAATTTTTTTCTGAAACTGACCCAAATATTTATTGATTTGATTTTCACTTCTGTTTTAGAGACATATGAAGTAGGTATTGTTTCAAAATAGGTTTATTTATACCTCAAGACACTGCAACAGCTGTACACACACCATTGTAGAACCAACAGTCTCATAAGCTAATGGTAGGAAATGTATGCCATCTTTGAGGTATTTTATGCATAGGACTGCAGTTATGTACAAGAATCCAATAAACATGAAGAGGTTGTAGAAAGTGAGGTAGACTTTCTTAAAATCCTCTGAAATACAATTTATATCACCACATGTACAGGGCTAGTTTTATTAATGTGAACCCCCCTTTATCTTTTTTGTTTCACACTCTTTCAAAAAAAAAATAATATGGATTTTATACAATTTTTTATACAGATTTCACTCATGTTGACAATGATGCAAAATCCCTTCAAATATACAGGGTATACAGAAAAATATATTTTTTTCAAATGGAATGCGCCGTATATTTTGATAGATTTGGATGCCTCAATTCATCCTGATTTCAAATATATCATATAAGTGATTCATATCTATCAAAATATACAGTGCATTCCATTTAAAAAGTACATATATGTTCTGAATTCCCTGTATATTTGAAGAGATATTGCAACACTGTCACTATGATTGGAACCTATATCAAAAATAATTGTATAAAATCTGAATCAAATTCTTTTTGATGGGTGGAAAACAAAAAAGATTAAGAGGGGTTCACATTAATAAAACTAGCCCTGTACATAAACAATTTTTAGGAGACTAATGACAAAAATGATAATAATAATAATAAAAATAATAATAACACTAATACCAAGGAATTATTCACACTTTCACAATATTATGCTAGATACATTTTAAAATATCATGATCTTCCTGATAACAAAAACAATTTGAATGAAAAGCATATAGATTTTTTTTAAAAATCCCTTTTTTCTGAGCAATATCATGAAGAACTAAATATAAATATTGTCAACATGGACTGTCTAAGTCTATTGTTAACTTATATTTACTATATTTAAAAATAGAATTGCATTTCATTATCAACATTTACATGTAATTAGTGATTGATTACAATAAAAAACATGAGTTCTCAATTAAAGGTTGGATATAGGAAATCAACCATTTTATTAAATTCTTGGATGCATAGCCACAATATTGACTAATAAGCAAAATGTTTTGCATGTCAGTTACCAACTTTGGTGCCATATCAACTGAATCATTTTTGTTAGGTAGCAGACTCTCCAACACAGATCTAGACTAATTCATTACTTCTCAATTATTTTGATTAAATAATTCAATTTAGGTATGTTTGAGAGTAGATTATATTTTTCTGTTGAAAATTCTTCCCTTCCCTACTACTCTCGAAAATTATAATATACAATATATAAGGAAAATATTTGAATGGCAATTAGATAAGTATCAAGTACCTATACATTCTTCAACCTACTTATCATAATCTTAATTATTGTTATAGATTCTGAATGGTGTACTTACCTTTCCTGAAACCAAATTCTTCCTTCTGCAACATATTATACAGGTCAGGATAATCCTGCCTGATATCTCTCACCTCCTCATCTATCAAGTCATCTTCAGACTGCCACTTATCAAAATCAATTTTCAGCCATGCTGGTTTTTGGGGCTGTGAAGTTAAACGAGGCCACCAACACTTTTCTGCTTTAGTTAAAGTCAAATCTACTTTTTGGTCAGTAATTTTCACAAATTTTGTCTGGAAACAGATCAAGAAAGTGTTTATATAAGCTAATTGTACCATAATAGGCATAATATGAATGTAATAGTAAAGGGACTAACAATGTATACATACTTACATCTTTTTCCAATTTTGAATGAAAGTGAATAGAGAAGCCATAATCCTTTTCACCTTGAGCACCAGTACCCTTTGAATGAAAGTGCAATTTTGTTTCTTCCAATTCCACCTCTGGATGCTAAAAATAATTGAAATCATCATTGAAAATGTGCTGAAAAACTATTTCTACTACCACTACTACTACTACTAGTTCACAGTTCACCTACTTTAACATCTTTTAGGTCAATTTTTAGAAATAGATTGTTTTCATTTTGGGCCCAATAAACAAATGGACTGAACACAGTCATCACTTCAATTAGTATGTATCTATTTAGTTAATGTATTTTAGTGCAACTACTATTCTAGGAGAATTTTCAAATTATAATAATTATCTTATCACAGCTTATCATTATGAGAAATTCTGATTTTGATATAATATACAGTGAACTTGAACAATTTGAACTTTGAAATTTAAATAAAAATTCTTCATGTCACTCATGTCCTGTCAGAAACCTGTCAGTCATAGTGTCATATTCGTCTCTCGCAAGTAATTCAACTAGTAGCATGCTGCCGTGAATAAATGAAAATAAACACCACGGTGGATGCAATGAAGTCAATATAAACAACTGGAAGGGCCCCTTTGTCACAAAACATTGTAATCAACCGATGAAATTGAAAAACAATTCAGGTTAATTTCGCATTATTTTCAGAGCAAAAACCTTTGATGAACTCCAAATTTGCATGAATGAAAAAAAATCATATCATAATGATTCGGACTTTAATAATGACACTGTATATTGAATTCGTTTGTAAACCCCTGGTATACAATATTTCAGATGTGATTAGTCGAAGATACAGTTCTTGTTCGGGAATCATTCGGTTAGAATGATGACGTGTAACTGATAAATCATTAAGGTGGTGAATCACGCATCGGATACCGGTGACCATGCAATATTGTATCAGATTTCATCGCGTACAGTCGATCTGATGGATTTGAAAAAATAACTTATATTGTTCACACGTGGGAATCAAAATGTATGGTGTCATTGAGTGATTTTAGTGCAAATATTTGTGGATATAAAATTTTGCAAAACAACCCACTTTTTTGATGTTTTTTTTTAACAAAATTCGGGTTTGATGAAATTTCGAATTATTTTCAGAGCCAAAACAATTCATAAACATCAAATTTGCCTGATTGAACATATTTCATGATACGGACTTTAACGGTGACACTGTATATTGAATTTCTTTCTAAACCACACCTCGTATACATTATTTCAGATGTGATAAGTCATAGATACAGTTCTTGTTCAGGAATTATTCGGTTAGAATGATGACGTGTAACTGATAAATCGTTAAGGTGGTGAATCATGCATCGAATACCGGTGACCACGCAGTATTGTATTAGATTTCATCGCGTACAGTCGATCTGATTGATTTGAAAAAATAACTTATATTGTTTACACGTGGAAATCAAAATGTATGGTGTCATTGAGTGATTATAGTGCAATATTTGTGTGTGAATGAGCGAGTTCTGGTGGTATTTTCCAACAATGAAAAGACTGGGATGTCTTGTATTGTTGTGGTTCTTTTCAGATATGGTGAGTGATGTTTTTATTATTTTCTTTTTATTCATATACGGAGTTATTCAATAGAAATCGATAGAACAAGGTGCAAAATTATGTGTCATGCACTGCACTTGCTTCAAAATCAATACATAATTCAGAATCTGATTTGTTATTGATTGAGAATATTGTATACTGGGTGTCCCATTTGAAGACATTGAACTTTTCTACGTAACTCGTGAACGCTATATTAGATTCCTGTTTAATTTTCGCCAAAATACTACTACTTTGTCCATTTACCTGACTTGATAGCTCCAATGATGACCAAGTTCGCAATAGTGCCGACATATATATGAAAACCCTGTATATAGCTTATAAAATTTCGTATAAAACGGTTAAACATGAAATTGAATGGAGTGAAATACGATTTCTACTATCAGTACTACCGAAAATTTCTAAATTAATTCTGATTTCAATTAACCATTTTTTTTCAACAATAATCTAATATACAGGGTGAACTAATTTCGTGTGATGACTTCATGAGTAACTTGTTTTATTGGAAATCCCTTTTTTTTTCGATTTTCGGATTTTTCTGCTGAGCTGATTAAACAAAAATTTCGAAAGTTGAAATTTGTATAGGTGAACAAAAATACGATAGTTTATGGAAATTTAAACCGAAGATCGACGGGTATCAGGAATTTTCAATAGTTATTTTCCTTCTACTAATGATGAATTCATGTGACACTCCAAAATCTTTTTTGTTCGATAGATTGATTTTATGACTTCGTGATTTTCTTACAGAAAATGTCTAATTATTAATGTCTAATTCGACAGTTATTGATGTACAAAAATCATCAACTTCATTTTGCACTATTTCCAAAGTAAGAACAGTTCATGAAATCCTAATTTGCACAAACTGAATAGAAAACAAATTCTATATGATGCGGACTTCAACGGTGACAATGTTTATTGAAGTTCTTTTCACCCCACACTGTATACCTCCTACCGATATCGAAATTAGTCTCGTATTAGATTTCAAGGCGTACGGTTTATTCGAGTGATAAAAAAATAACTCGAGTTATTATTAAAAGTGAAAAACTAAAAATTACCTTCGGTGTAAGGCTTTTATTTTCATTTGAGTGCATGAAAGTTGTGTCTTTTCAACATGGTAAGTGTGTTTATTGATTGTCTTCTTTACCCCAAGAAACAATATTTTTTTAATATTGTCGCAACTCAGATGGTTTTGGTAGATTATTTGGCAAACGGCGTGTCCACCACATGTCGCAACTCAGATGTTGCCCTCCTATGGATCGCAACTTGGCTACTCGCTTGGCTTGATGAGAGGATTTTGATCATTTTACCACCCAACCATATTCATCCCCAAATGAAGAGTCAAGATAGTTTTCGTATAAAATTAACATTTATTGATTTAATGGGAAAGTCGTGAATAAATGCTTGCCACATGGCAAAGTAGCAGAGACAAACCATAATAAGTTACTAAACGGAACACAACACAGAAAAAACAAATTAGATAGAACATGGAAAACAGTACTTACATTATGACATCTAACATGGGGTTGACCAGCAGGATCAAAGTCGGGAAGACGGTACACATTTTGGCAGCAACTCGTGAATAAGTAACTCAATTACGGAGTAAAGTAAAGTGTTATCGAAATGCATGATCGTAATGAATTCAGTAATCAGAAATGGGTGATCAATAATAATCAAAAATCAGTAATGAATAGTAATGAATGGCCTATCGATCCGGAATCTATTTATATTTGGAATCGATGCTAACATTGCAATTTTCCGCAATGGCAATGCTCGATACCGGGCTTAGCTTGGCCCGCATCGCAAGCTAAGCGGTTTCATGCAAATTTTACCGGAACTAGAGTCTATGAACTCCGCTTTGACCTGATCGAAACGTTGTACAAGATGTTTTGATTTGGAAAAGTTAATTTATGAATGAAGATCTAGAAATGAACGAAAGTTATTTCATAGACATTTGTACTTCTTGACACATCTCCCCTGTTTGACGAAGCTGGCCCCACAGCTTCAAGTGTCTATAACTACCTATATACATGATACAAACACTAATCAAATCGAATAATGAGTCAATCAAATGAATTACCTAAGTGATCGAGTGAAATAAAAAATATAAAATTGTGTAAAAATCATACCTACATCAATGATAAATAAAAACATTTCGTAAAAAAAAATCGATAATTAAAAGAGGAAATGTATAAATGAAGAGAACTTGTGATAACTGTCCATTAGATAAGTCTATTTTCTCCGCGTCTGTGAGAGTTTCGAAGAGGACCACACTGAAAATCACTTGGTCCGGCACTACACTTTAATTGTTTGTTGACACTGAACTCTGTCCTTCCAGTCCCCTGAGGTTGCGGTTCCATTTTCCATATGTTAGTATCGTAGGTCAGCGATGTTTTGTTTTACTCGTAACTTGATACATCCATAACATTAAGATCATAACATGGTAGGATTGATGCACGTGAGATCTGTGAGAAGGTCTGACGGCGTCCACTCTCGCCTGGGAGGGAACACTAGCTCTCTGATGAGACGTTTCCTATGGCAGTGTACGGTTCAGCTTATAGACTGCCATTGCTGCGTCCTTTGGATGCTGCGCTCTATCGTCTCTGGAGAAAAATCGAGAAGAGATTTAGGAGAGTATCTCTGTCTCTTTATATGCAGATAACGGAAATTGCTGAATAAGTAGTTTGTCGTCCATTGCTACTAGTGCTTCGTTTTTGCAATGATTTCGGTAGTTCGGTACTATCTACACTTATAATCGGTGTGATTTTCGTATAGTGAGTGGTAGTGCGAACTTAATTGCTTGGGAATATAGACATAACTTTGGTTACTGTATTGACTTCCTGTAGTCGGGGCTCTGGTAAGTTTTGTCTATTCTGCACCGTTCTATCTCAACCTCGTGGAAATTTCGTCTAGGTTTCGTGGATTTTGGCTGCCTTTTGGGCTCCTGTAGCGTCGGAAAAGCATATCGTCATGCGAATTGGGCAGCTCTTCACGGGGCAGCGTATCTACCATTTCGAGGCACATCAGGCGAGATACAAAGTAAGTTGCTTGGGGCATGCATCCTATAGTTGCGATATATCGACTCGGCTTATTCATTCCGTGATAACTGCATTTTCCAATTTTCCAGGGCTCTCTACCATTCGAATTTCATCTACTAGATGACTCCAGGAACGATGGAACTTCCCATGGACCAAAACACCTTTGACGTGGTATATGGGCCTATGACTGTTTGTGGTTCAGGTCGACTTCTTGGGCTGCATCTGAGTGGTGCCATCAAGTGTGGTTCTTCGTTTCACATGTAACAAGAGAGAAAAAATATCGGCAGTAAGTTCATACAAAAGAATACATATAAAACTACCTAACTAGTTATAAAATAATTGAATACAATTGACATAACTTTATCGATTAGCGTTCTCTAAAAACAAAACTACCTAAGTTAGTTCATGAAAAAAATTAATGTCTCCTGATCTTCTTGTTGCTCATCAAAAAGATAGGTCTCCCTACAAGAAAATCAAGATGTACCTATACTGCTAACACTTATCCAAGAATCTCTTTTCTACTATAGAAATATGGAATTGTTTGTTTTATCTTAAATCTTCTTGAATTGTAGGAAATAGATTCTTCCTCGATTTGGAATAGAAATGACACACCCGTATTATTGATTTTTCATTTTAATGTTTCATTTATTCAATTAATTCTCATTCCTATGTTATCTCAATGTTACCAATTTTTGTTTTCTAATATTATAAATGGTTTGTCACCGAAAAAAA